ATGGTAATTAATATTGATATCTTGTGAATGGTAATCAATTGATATCTGGTAATGGTAATCAACATTGATATCTTGAGGATGGTAATCAATATTGTTATCTAGTGGATGGTAATTAATATTGATATCTTGAGAATGGCAATCAATATTGATATCTGGTGAAAAGTAATCAATATTGATTTCTTATGAATTGTAATCAATATATGATATCTTGAGGTAAATCATTTCCAAGGAACAAATTTATAACATAATATGATTACGCTTATAATAAGTTTTAAATTTTAAGGATTTCAATCTTTAATATTCCAATTGAAGAACCTGTTTTTCTTTTGTTTATTTAGCTGCTTATTATACCTTTTCTTTAACTTCTTTATTTGTCATTCCTGGATATGGTTCTTCTGCATTTGCAAAAATTTCCCACACCATAACACCATAACTCCAAACATCCGTTTTGGAATTGTAAACAAGCCGTTTAATAGTTTCCGGTGCAAGCCATTTAATTGGTACTCGTTTTGCTTTTGTCATATAATATTCATCACCTTCACGTGATAAGCCAAAATCCGATATTTTCACATGAAATANATCCGTTTTGGAATTGTAAACAAGCCGTTTAATAGTTTCCGGTGCAAGCCATTTAATTGGTACTCGTTTTGCTTTTGTCATATAATATTCATCACCTTCACGTGATAAGCCAAAATCCGATATTTTCACATGAAATAGAAATGATCTTTTAATGAATTGATCTGATTACTGGAACAGAATTTTCTCGTATCATATCACATAAAAAGAGATCGAAATTGAAGTATAAATCTACCTGAGAACTACACCTGTGTAAATTAATGTCGCAAAGTATCAGAAAAGAACGAATTAAACTTTAATAATTTAATCGCTATTAAGTAAAGATCAACTAATCATTAATAGAATAATTTTATAGATACATACATAAAGAAAATCATTTATTTTTCCTATTGCATTGTTGAATATATTTATTTTCAGGTAAGAGAAATAACTGAACATAACCTAAGCTATTTCTAATTTAATTAATTTATTTTTAATTATTGTAACCTTTTTAAAAATTAATTTTATATAAATATGTTTGATTTGAATCGATTTTACTTAAGCAAAATTAATAAATTAAATAAAACTAACTATGCCACTACGTGTAAGTAAACAATTCCTGGCAGCAATATCACGATGAATACAATTCTTTGAATGCAAATATTCTAATCCCCAAGCACCACCAGCAACTAATTTTTCAATTTTATCCTTTACTGATACTCGATTTTTCTTAAGAAATTCATCCATTGCTCCACCATCTACCTGTAATTATAGAAATTGCAATTAATTATTTGTATAAATGAGTTCTAAAATAATTAGGAGATCAAATAAGTAAAAATAATTAAAATGAGTTAAAATAAATAAAATAAGTTAAAACAAGTAAAATAAGTTAAAATAAGTAAAGTAAATTAAAATAAATAAGGTAAGTTAAAATAAGTAAATAAGTTTAAATAGGTTAAAGTAAGTTAGAAGATAAAATAAATCAATCAAAAATAATTTATTGTAGATTTAAACACATTAACAAACATATATCAATTCAAAATTGATTTAACATATATATAATATATTTAATA